GAGCGGCTGCGTGGTTCTGAGTTTCCGGCTGAGCTTGAACCACAACAGTATGCAGAACTGGCAATAAGGATATGTATTAATAGGCTCATAAGCAGGACCACTGGTGAACAATTAACCTCAGAATATTCTGCTTAAGCTGCTAACTAATGGACTGGCAGTGTCCTCAAATACTTCAGTTCTGCAACATAAAACCAATTCCAGGGCTAACACTTGAACACAAAAACCAGATTGGTATATGGCTACATGGTGCACTATCCAGGTATTGATAACTTGCCTATTTTCTATGGAGGAAATTACAAAGAAGGAATAAATGGAAACAGGTTTGGAAGAACATTTGTTTAAATAAGGTAAAGTATATTAAAGTATATTATATGTTCATTTATGCATATATAAAATAGGCTAAGAGAGACACTTTTATGCTGAAAGTGAAATGTTAGTTCAATGAAGAGTGAAAAAAAATAGAAAGCAGGTGATTTTGCAGGTATTAAACCCTATTTTGCCAAATAATAGGACCGGTTTGAGTATTTCACTATATAATTGACAAATACAAATAAGAAGAAAATAGCACATACATCCACATGTTCAGCTTTACTCTTTCTGCATATTGTTGAAAAAGTCCTAATCCACCTCTACCCAATGTTTCCTATTTTCCTACTGAAAATATTTTAGGTCCTTTGCCTAAAATACCATTTATTGTAAAATGTTATGCCATACCTTACTATTCATGCTTTGAAAGTAGAGAAAAAGTACTTGGGAAGGAGTGCCAAATATATTTTTTAAACAGCTTAAAAGCTTTTAGTTTAATTAATCATGTGCCTACTATTCACTGATTTATAAAACTTAAAGTAGGACTTCTACTTTAAGATTTTAATTAAGAAAATGACTGTTTTGTGGAACCATTTACTGAAACTGTCAATTTATTACATCATTAACCACCATTAAGATTGTATTTGAAATTTAAGGAGGTACAACAGCAAACTCCAATATGACCTCCTATGAGAGGAGAGGAGAAAAAAAGAGAGAAGAGGAAAAGAGAGGAGCGGAAAGAAGAGGAGAGGAGGAGAGGAGAGAAATATTCTGGCATTTACAATTATTAATACATGTAGTACTGATCCTTTCACTCATCTGAACCCTTCTTCTCCTCCATGACTTTAAGAAGACAGACATTGAAAACAAAGCAATCAAATGTGAGTAACCCATTCCTGTGTTCCCTTCTTAACTACTCGAAAACACAGTGCAATCCACCAGCAGTGGTTCTCATCACAGCTATTACTGTCATAGATACAATAAGCACATGCTCTCCTTTTTTAGATATGAATTATCAGACAGGTAGGTACTAATGCTGTATTAGATTTAATTAAAGTAATTTATGTTACTGATTTATACTTAAAACCGCAAAAGAAAGGCATTAAAGATTCACACCTTTTTGTAAAGGACCATCTGAAACGGCACTCGAAATGAGCATCTAATACACTAGCTAAGGTTGAATTCTTGCGCCCCTTAGTGGTGAAAAATAGCTTCTCAGTTCTTATACTGCTACTGTACGCTTTACATTAGGATTCCATTAAAAAGCTTAAAACACCTAATTCCACACTTTCTCCCACATTTTTAAATATAGAGTGTCAGATATTAAAGGTAAACGCAGCTTTAAATTCTTCTTCACCACGAAGACATAATTGTTCATAAATTATTTTCTCATTTGATTTTAATTATCTTTTAAAAGCAATTGATAAATCATGTATCTACATCAAATGTAACTATCTTTTAATATAATCTGTAGTGCTGAATGCAACATATGACTACAACCATCTTTAGAAGCCTTAATGTTTACAGGTTAAAAACCCCACCCAACAATGTTCATACTGCCTCCTCTGAAGTGATATACTTAAAAAGATAAAAAGCACATTTCTAACTTCTTGCAATATAATAAATAGAGCTGTTTATAGAACTGTTCTGATCAACAGTATCACCCCATGTAATCTTCTTGCGTGTGCATGCATGACTTCTGAAAACCATACACTGTATGAAGATCTACTCACAGGAACAGCAACAGAATCGTATCATTTTCTTCCTTGCTTGACTAATTCAAAAATTCCATGTGCTCAGGCCATGAAACGGGGATCGTTGTGCAATGTCCCAGTAAAACGTAAGTAAGAACTCACACATATAAGCAGGCAGAATAAGCTACTGATTTAGAAATAGGATTGTGAGACATTACAAGAATCCCCGCTAGAGCTTTCAAAACCAATTTACCCTAAACCAGACATCACACATGGAACTTTAATTAAAAAGTAAATATTTTGCAAAGCAGCATTGGAGAAACAGTTAAGAAAATTATTTCCTGAGGAAAGTATTGAGAGACTTGAATTAAAGGCATCAAAAACTAATGAGGTAACAGAACTACTGGAGAAAGGCAAGTAAAAGAAATATCCATGAAAAGCTACATTATCAAATGCATTATGCTGGTGTTCACTGCAAATCCAACCCTGTGAAAATAAACCACACATTCTCTTAATTTTAATCAGTGTGCACTCTAGAGCTATGTGTCAAACACCAGCAAAGTTGGAAATTGGGTCAATTAATTGTCCATTATTATCAGATAAACTTACCAGTATTGTAAAATATTGTCTAAAAAAAATTATGCCAAAAAGCAGCAAGAAAAGCATTAAGGTAAAAAATAATATAAACCACAAGACAGCATTACCTTTTCCTGAAATTACTTCTTTCTCATGACGCCATCTAAATCCAAACTGTTAAGATAAGAACCAAAATTGTGAACAGTCAATGCATTCAGTGTAAGACTAATTTCCGTTGACTGATGTCCTGCATGTGGTTCATCCATTCAATTCTGGTTAGTAAAATTTCACCTCTTGCTCTGTTAATTAAAAATATGTCTCTGCCTCTGCTCACCAGAATGATTCCAATTTACACATGCAATTCGAACAGCAACTTTCTAAAAGGCTTCACAGCGTGCAGGAGAACAAACAGGAAATTAGGATAGACTGGCTTTACTAGATACTTCCTTGCGATTTTGTCCATACTGAAAACACCACCGGCATACTGAAAAGTCATATTAGCACATTATCAATAGATCACTTCTTATACTCTAAGGCAAAAAAATTCAAACCAAACCAACCAACAACTAAGTTGTATTTCTCTTTGCATTGCCTAGAAACTTTACCTGTAGATAACCCATCTACTATTTTTGTTTTCCAACAGAACCTGCTTCAACCTCTCAAAATGGCAAGCACCCCAGCGAAAAGATTGAAGATGGAAGGGAGTGTGAACAGCTTGGAAAAAACAATTATATTCTCACTAACAAGTAGAAAGAGGTATGCAACTTCTCCAAAAAAGGCTACTTTGTATTTTCATTTAAAATTCATGAACACAAGATGACAAGAAGATAAAATTACTTCACTGTGAGCAAAGCACTGAAGACTCTGTACTTCATGTTAAAAGACAGGCAGGCAAGAGGGAGAAGAAGGGTTACAAAATCCAAGAGGTAAAAAAAATGGCTGCAAAGCCCATCTTTGGCACCTGGGTTCCAAAGCATCCTTTGGATATGAACCTTCTCTTGGTGCACTGATAGACTGAACCCACACAAATGTGCACTTTGTAGATGCAATGGTATAAATTCTGCAATATACTGTACTGATTTTCAATCTTTTAAATTCAGTTTTAAACACTCTACAGAAGTACAGATACCTATTGCTGTGTGTGCTCTTCAACGCAGCCAATTTTTTAATATGCAATAATAATTCTTTATCTGAAGGGCAACGCATGGAGTTCTCATGTATGAAGTAGTATGTGGTTCAAAGAACATTAGAAAAAAAACATATAAACTAAAGTCTTGGCTTTTAAAAATGTGCCATACTTTCATATACATGCTTTGAACCTTAGTAACAAAGCTAAAAAAAGACATCAGCAGCCAAATACTTTGTCAGCACTGATTTTCCCCAAGTCAATATATTACATAGAAGATGTCTAAAAATTTGTACACCAACAAAAGGCTTTCCTCTTTAAATCGGCCCACTAATTTTTGAATTTGTATTATAACATAAACAGTGTTTTCACACCCACTGGTTTCACTGGTAAAAAAATCACAGAAGATCAGGTTCTGCTATCGTACTGTGTATGACAGTTTGCTAAGGCTGGATCGGGTTGTGCTTGGCCCACTCTGCAAACCTGCAGTGTGGTCTGAAGTACCATTATACCACTCAAGCTTGGCTCAAACAGAAAGAAGTCAGTTGTAAAAACCAAGAACTGTGCTGAACAGTTCAGTGAAAACAGAATGTAAAATACACCTGTGAATGTAGAATTAATGATGGAATGAGCTCATCCAAACAGTGATGACAACTGGTTTTGCTCTTCAAAGAGTATTTGCTGGTTCACAAGGTTTTCCAATTCTGAAAAGCTTGTGATGCAATTGAAAAATACTGCGGGTTTACTATTAAATGTCAACAGTATTTTGGCACCAATTTTGAACATGTGTGCTGCTGGCAATAAAGAGTAAAGAACAATCTGACCTTATCTGCATGTTTGCTTTTTCATAGTCCATCTGCTACTTCACCAATCACCAAGTTATCCATGCTCACTTTTGCTACGGTAGCAGACTTTTACACAAATTTTCCTCACAGTCTGAACTTGACTCAGTACAATGTAAATGATATTATACCCTTACAGAGTATTTCTGTAATGATATCAAGAAAAATAAGCAAAATAAAAGAGGAAGCCAGAACCACCTTTAAGTACATCTAGCGCAAAAGCTGTCCTCATCTACATCCATTTTTGCCAATCATTCTTTCACCAACTGAATGAAAATGACAGAGAGTGGCCGAGGCTAAGAAGAAACAATAAAATAAAAATTAAACACAATTGAATTCCTCTAACTAAGCTAAAAATCTCAGGAACAGATTAAACTGTGTAAGAAAAATAAAAATTAGGGTATGATGTTGAATAGTCTGCCTGCAATATTAAGGATGCAAAAGCATCATCACCAGACAGCATGGGGCTTCGAGCAACCTGGTCTAGGGGGATGTGCTCCTGCTCATGGCAGAGGGGTTGGAACCAGATGATCTTTAAGGTCCCTTCCAACCCAAACCATTCTAGGATTCTGCCTCATCTTCTTTGTTAAATGAGTTCATCAAGATCCTAAATGAGCTATTTCTACAAGGCAGACCAAAACAGATGTTTTACAGGAGTATCAAATGGCTAACTTACTAAGAAATGATAGTATTAAAATTGTGAAAGACCATTTAATACCCATCCATAAACTATTAAAATTCCCAAGGGAAATACAGACTGCTTGTATAATATGCATTGGCTGCAGCAACAACTAACGTCTAGTGACCTCTTTCACACAAAAAGAAATGTATGAATTTAGACAACACTGTGGAAAAGTGCTGTATTTAAAATATTTTTATTTTCACAGGAAAGCCTCCATGCTCAAAAAGTGACAAAGGCAAAAGTGTCTTCTACCAAATAGAAGACAAGTTTGCCTAGAAATCTGAAAATGATCTGGAAATCAAAACAAAGTATAAAATGTATTCTGTTTAATGACCAGGTGTCAGACAGATTTCATTTCTTAGCAAATAGGAGACATTTCCAATCTGCTAAGCTACAAAACAAAGCACAGAGACAGCAAATAAGAACATTTCTAAGAAAATACGACAACAAAGATAACATTTCTAGTCCAATGTGTATCAAAGTAAAACTTACATGCAGAGCACTCTTCCTTACTGCACTGCAAAACTGACAATAGAACTAAACTATCTGACAATGCAGATGGTCATTTATCAGCCTCAAAGCTTGCAGACAAGATACACTGAAGGTTCAAAGACAAACTTGACCTAAAAATTCTGATTTAGGGAAAATAACAGAAGTAACAGACCCATCACAAGCAAGAGCTGTCAGAGCACACTCTTCTAAGTAGCCTCACAACAGAGGGTCAGCTTGGCATTTCTCATTAAAAGAGAAGGAAAAGTTCGTATGTCCTAACTACACAAAGAAAAGTGGGATCGTGGGTCACAGGGTCCCATTTGCCTAAAGCCAGCAAAGTGAGTGCAGGTGTGCAAGTGAGTGTGTGAGCACTAGTGAAGATGAGACAAACTAGCAGTCAGCTAGGTGAAGTGGTCTGGGAGCAAGGAGGGTGAATGGGTCACCACCAGCCAGCCGTGGGTGCAAGAGCACCCGTGTATCTCTAATGACAAGAGCACAGAGCATGGTCTCCTATGGCACCAGGGGAGTCCCAGCCATCTCTGTCTGTGCATATGTGTATATACATGCACATACGTGAGTGAAACAGTCTGAACACACAATCGAAGAGCAGCTGTGGCACTGGGGGCTCATATGTCTTGGGTCTTCTGTTTTCTTTTGAGCTTTGGTCTTCAACGAGGTACTCTGCTTATTTTTCAAGAGAACCCCTCGCATAGAACTGGTCCTTATCATTACCCAGTACTTAGGAAAACAGTGTTTTTTCTCAGAATAGAAGTTCTACATGAGATCTGAGCTACAATCTCTATGCAGAGGTCTTTAAAAGAATTAGCTGGCTAGAAGATTTTGGCCAGTAGCAAACCAATTACAGTTGTGAAAAGACAGATGAGTATGTACATGCAAGTCTCAATCTATGCTATATATATGTCATGGTTTAAGCCCCGAACCCAGGACAATATATATTAAAAGCATCACAGAAAACTGGTCTCCAGCTTCACTTTGACACCACTTAGCAGGATATAGAATCACGGAACAGTCCAGGAAAGGGACCTTGAAAGATGATCTGGTCTAAGCTTTTGTGGGAAAGGAAGCGGTTACATATCACCCTACACAACCACATCTTGAAAATCTCCAGTGACAGAGACTCTACCATGTCACTGGGGAGGTAGTTTCAGTGAATTAATGTTCTCACTGCAAAAGATTTCTTCCATATATTAAGAGGAAGCATCATCATATAAAGCAACAACAACTACCATACAAAAGGCTGGCCAGCTGCACCTCTCGAAGCACCAGCACTGCAAAACAGAAGGCACAAGAGGCTATAGATATCCAACTTCCAGTTTCTGGCAATGCAGAAAAAGAATCAAGGCAGAAAAAATCTGAAAGCACAGACTGCATTCCATTGGTGTGAATGGGATCAGCAGCCTATTTCTGACTTTCAAGAAAAAAATCTGCTTTGATATCCTTCTGTACCAAACATGGACATGGATAGATCAGTAATGAGAAAAAAAATGAGATTTTTCTCATTTTTCTAAGAATTTCTAAGAAAGGACATGCTCAGAACGTATTTGAGAACAGAAAACACAGCCTAATATAAGAGAACTAACTACATGATACAGCAGAGTTATGCTGACATGGCATTTCCAAAAATATAGGTAATGACTTACGAGCATACACAGGAATTCAGAGTGACCTCAGAGTTAGGACAGCCACATTTTAAGTCTGTCAGGGAAACACTGTTTGCACAACACACACACACACAAAAAAAAGGAAACTGGGGCAGAACTGTTTCCCACAAAAGACAGCAAACATATGGAAACTTGGCACGGTAGCGAAAGAAACAAAATCTGTAAGCATGCTAAGGGAAAATCAGCTGGGGGGGTGGGTCGGAGATTGAGGGATATGAAACAGCTACAGGAAAATAAAACCAAATTTACTCAAAAAAACAGGAGGGAAGACTTCTTCAGAATTTCACTTTTTATTAATTTTCATTTAAGTTTTGCATTTTTTTGTTCCACTCATCTTTAGAAAGCTGTCATCTTTTCTACCTAATGTTAAGAGTTTATGTCCAGTCCTTACAAACATTTACCAGTGAACGTAATTTTCAATACTATAAATAGTCTCAAAGAACTTTATATAGCCACTGTTTGCAGGGCTGGGTTGTTACTATGCGCTAACAACACTAAGACACATCTGAGTTGAGCAACACTCTTCGCAAAATCACGATAGAAATGTCATGTATTCCTTCTGACTGAGAGGTTAGTCAGTCAGAAACTTCGAAATGACAAAGGTTGTTCCGGTTAAGAAAAACTGCTGCTGGAATTGGGCTGTTTCTTTTAAATTCTATTTACTTACAAGGAACATACAAATCCTGTTTCCATAAACAGAAAAGAACAACCAGCAAAAGAAACTGCTTTAGAACAGACATTTCCAAAATTGCTTCTGCCAACATCCCAGTACAAAACTCTCTCTTTTTAGACTATGTCTTTTTTTTCTTTCCCCTTAATAGTAACATTCCCAGGGATTTTTTTAGGCTTCATCTGGTGATTCTCTCCAGGCAAACTTCTATCGCCTTCTCTCCTTAACCTCTCTCCATTTTCTGTCTTTCTTACATACAATGTACCTCTTCATAAAACACCATCTGACAGAAAAGCTCCTCTTCCCACAGAAGCACATTTTTGGGGCAGCAACAATGCGTAGATTCAAACTGCTGCTGTTTATTAAATAACTTGACAAGTTCTCACAATTCTCTTTCTAGGGTAGGGGTACTAATATTCTGGTTTCACAACATATCCACAATCAAACCAATTTTTTAAAAAGGGCATACTTTAAAACCAAAATGATTTACAATACTGAAATGTACCTTATTCTCTTTGTATCTGCTGAGATCTGCTATACAGTATTCTTTGAACAACTTGTCATAATACTTCTTTGCAATTTTAAGAAAAAGTATTATTCTTATTAAACAGAACATGATACAATTCATTTTACGTTGTAATGACATTAGCAAGATAAAGACATGTTTAATCCGAAGAACACAAATAGCAAAGCTAAAAATGCAACACAAATACACTCACTGAGCTCAGGGATAATTTCCATAAAACTGGAAAAACACGTCTAAAATGCATTTACAGCACAAATTAAACCATATTTTTTTTCAAACTAGGGTTCCTTCAGAGTTTTCAGAACAGTCATTTGGATCTCAGAGCTCTATCACACAAACATTTCTTAGCTCTGTCATCAATTAATTTTGCACTGACCTTTGTGAGGTCTTTCATTTTTAAATGCATTAAGGATCAAACAATTATCACTAAGTAAGCACAGTAATTCTTTATTAGTAGGGGACACCACAAATTTAGTACAAGTAATCTAAAAATAACATGTTCTATAACAGTTCCAGGTACCAATTCATGTCTGCTTCATCATCTTCGTTCCACAGGAATCTGTGGTTTTCTCTGATAACATCAAGATCCGTCTTGTCATTTGCTCTATAAAAGGACACATTTTTTTTTAGTACAATGTAACATTAAAATGAAAAGACAGTAAAATAACAATCTGGTAAACACCAGTATGTCACAGTTGTGATCTCGACCTCACTGCATAAAGGAATATATTGCTATGGAATAAAACTATCAAAACATGTATTCCCTGGCATACCTTTTCCCCAGTGAAAAAGTCACGGTGGAAAATAGCCACTGAAATGGGATGACTTGATCCTGTCTGAAAATACCTTTTATACTTTTTATTGAGGATGGTAATGTTAGAAGGCAGCTACAGACAGCCCTAAAGAAGGTTATCATTATTCTGGACAATGGATAGCAATTCTGCACATTTCAAAAGTATTTCAGATTGTTATTTTGAAGTTACTGACAGATATTTCTAAATGTACCCTCCAAACAAAATTAATGCTAACCTGTCATCTTTCCTTTTACATAACAAAACAAGAATAATTCAGTTCGACAAACAAAACCAAACAAACCAAAAATTAAACTAGGCAATTCTGTGTTTTGGTTCTTTACAATGACTTCAGTTACTATTTGTGACCAAAGGAATTAGTAATTTGATACACAGCCACATCCCCCCTCTCCCCACAAAGCTACAATATATGTTTAATGGCTTTACATAACAGGGGAGCTTTGGGAGCATGAGGGGAAAGACTGCCAATGGTTCTTACCCAGAACGTCGGAAATCCTCTATTTTGCCACCATAGTACAAAATGTAGTCTTTCACAAACTTTTTATGTCTTTCATACTGAATAAAGCAATTAAGGATGGTTTCAAAACTTACTTTCTCTTATTTTAACATAGTTTAAAAATAATAAAAAGAAAAATAAAAACTTTTTAGATACTTAACAGAAAGAAGGGTTAGGTTTTGGTTTTTTGTTTTTTCCAAATACAGGAATTCAAGGCAATTTCATCTTTTCAACCTCATTCAGCTGCTAGACCTTTATAAACTTCTATCAGAGATGCTCTGCATGCATATACATAGAAACTGGGCCCATTTTTTCAGCTGTAAGTTAGACAAGAGCTTCTTAGTATTGGAGTTTAAGTTCAAAATAGGTTTGTATTTTTGTATTATGTAAATAGTATGGCTTCTAAAATGGAATAATTTATTACATTTTATCACCAACATTCAAATAAAAGTTATCTTCTTTGGTTTGGAGATGAAACTAATGGGAAAGTATGTAATGCTTGCTGTAGAACACTTTGGCCTCAGAGACATGATTTGAAACACATTTTGTACCATAATTTGACCACATGTATGTAATTACTTACTCAGAAAGTAAGTGTCTTCATAAATAAAAACATTATATATGGTTACTTAAAAATATTTTCAATTAACTTGTATGGTGTTTCTGAAGCAGCGAATTAAGAAACACATCATCTTCTGATACGCATCCCAGCAAATACTGCATCAATTTGAATAATTTGTATCAACCTACTATTCTGGAATGCATTTGCATTTTATTGAGAAAGCATTTTATTTTCCAAAGGCCTTCAAAAAGTTAATTTAACCTCAGCATGTGTTTTTCTTTCCTCTTTCCACCACAAACAGAAGGAACAAAGAAGCAAGGCCAGACAATTTAAGTTGCACAAATAAGCACATTTAACACAACATACTATTCTGTGCTGTTATTTGAGTTACTAGGTGTTAAAATTGCATAATGGTAAAGGTTTTAAATAGGAACCACTCAAAAACATTAGCAGAAACTCATAGAAGTCTCTACATAATAAGTTTTACCGCCATTCCAGCATATACAGACTTTTCTGTCGCTAATGAGAGTCTAGAAAGTCAGTGGGACTGATTTAAGATATGTCCCCTTTACAGACATACGATGGTTTATGTAGTGCCTGGCCAAATCCCAAACAGGTTAGGAGAAGTTACTGTCTGTTTACTGCAGTTTCCAGATTTAAGTCTTTCCATACATAATTAGTCCTTATTTTCCTATTTATTAACTGTTAGTGCTGAAGAACAGCTATTTAAACAAACAGGGAACCGATGGTATTTCAGATACACTTAAGTCAAAACATGTAATGCCCGGCCCAGGTGAAAACTAAATGCAAGAAGAAAGGTTGCAACCTAAATAAGGTAGTAGTTATAAAAACAGTTTAAAATTATGCATGAAGTATGATTAAGATATTAAATAAACCCTTCACATGATATTAAGCAGGCTTACATTAGAGTAGCTGTAGAAGATATTACTGGTGATCAGGCTGTTTTGAATAGACTTTTGAACTAACTAATGCATTCTTAAATTTCCAGTAGAAATGTATTTGTCCATAGATCATAGCAGCCTTATACAGAATAATGTTCTGTATAAACTCACCTGAAACAGCAAAGTGTCTTTGTGCCAGTCTAAATAAAATTCACTGTGTAACTTTATCCCTAACAGGACAAATGATCTTATAGGAAGAATCTGGCAATGCTTCTACTGACTAAAGAATTCTCAGTCATCTCAGCAACAAAAAGAAACTCATTCTAAGAACAATTCAGTATCTGGTGCTATACTGTCAACTGCTGTGATAACTGAGAAATCCCAGTATTTCACCATAACGGATAACCTGTGTCCCATCTTCAAACTTCAAGAAAAAATGTAACAGAAGGATACGGCATCCATTGCTATCAAGTGGCATCTTCTTTTTCTTGCTTCTTCCCTGTTAATAACAAACATATTTGAGTGAAAGCTGTCTTTACATGAAGGGAAAAATGTCTCACAAAAGCAATAGACAGAACATACCGATCCCATTCTTCAGCTGCGAACTGTCTGTGAACCACGCTGCCTTGCTTTGCTTTTTGGAATGGCTTTATGAGAAGGCCATCTTCCTTTATACTAAAGGTAGGGAGGAAAAAGGTAGAAAAATAGTCAAGAACTTTACATAAGCAATAAAATTTGCTTACACCAAACTCTGCACTAGCTCGAGTAACAAAACCTGCTATATTGCTAGTTTCTACAGGGATAAATCCAAACTTCAGAACCAACATCAGCTTAGACTTTACTTCGTCTGTAGAACAAAATAATAAAGGCATTTTCTTACAGTTAGCATTTAAAGAAAACTGCTTAAAACAGCAGTTTGTAATATTTATTTTTAGTAATATTATCACTATAGAACTACAATGAAAAAACCCTGAATATTCCCCAGTTTCCCTCCATCTGCAAAGCTCTATAAATCTCAGCTTAACAGCCAAGTGGGAAGTAGGAAGGACAGTATGTTCACTCAGTAAGAATGACTGCTAGTAACCTTATCCCATCCTTTGATGCCAATGTCTCAACACCTCATTAAACAACTCTGCCTCTCTCAGAGTAATCAAACGAATCACTCATTTAAAACTTTAATACTGCATTGTGAAGCATACTTGTCAGTGGGCAGCTAAAACTACTTTCAGAATTGAACAAAGTAATAAAAATTTAAATATAAAGTGATGCGCTTTAGCTAGCAAAAGGTATATTTAGTTTGTTCCATTCCTCATAGAGGTGGAGAAAAGATTTTTCCATAATTATCAGCTGGCAGAAAGAATGGAAGTCAGAAACCTGTAGAAAGCAAGCCAGGGAATTCATACTTTGAGCTCTGGAATAAGGACTCTAGAAACTAAGGGTTTTTATCATTTGCTCAAAAGGATCTGTAGGCACAAAATTCCCATGAGGAGTCTCCATAAAACAGGAATATGGAGAAAACTTAAGACTACTATTTACCACCAAGTGAAAATAAGTATCTTCATAGAGCAAGAAAAGGATATATACATATAAGTGAACCCACATAAGAGCCCAACTGGGAATCAGCAGTAGTGTGCCAGAACAAGGGTAATGATGATATTTTTGAAAGGCTCCTGTTAATATTCCACATAGAATAGAAAGTGGAATGGTATAATGCGTAAAGGCCTTTTAAAGAAACTTAACAAAACCAGTCACTGTTTTAATGGAGAACAGCTATATTTATAAAATAAATGGAACAGCACAATGCCTGCTATTATTCCAATGATTAAAACACGAAATTTTTTTTCCCAGAATGCAGTCAGACACTACAAAGCCCATTCTTTCAATTTTACTACAAAGGAAAATATGCAAGAGTCCTAGGAAAGTTTCCAGAAAGCCTTCTCCAAGTCCAGTAACAGAGCAAAGAGAAACAGAAAAAGGTAGGAAAAATATATGCACAATGTAGGCTAAATGTTCAGCATGGCGCAGAAAGTGTCAAAGGACTATGGTGTCAAAGCAAAATAAATACATAAATAGATAAAAATATTAGTAACAAAGAGATCAGACGACAAAAGTCAAGGTCACTAATTGTGTGAACCACTGGAAGAACTGGCAAAAGTGATCTCAAATAAGAGATGTATAGTTACATTCCAAGGATTGAGCACAGCACAGTTCACCAATTCCTAGGCCTCTTCGCAAATTAAATGATAAAAAAGCAGCACCAGTTCTTTACTTCCTCCAAGCAGGTGTTTTCTATCTACAAAGCCTGCTGCCATTTGGCCTTTTTTCCCTTGCTCTCTTAGCGGTTCTACGTGTCCTGATGGATCACAGTGAAGTCAACAGTGCAGCCAAACCCCAGCAGTTGATACTAATGCTTGGAAAAATGAAGCACTCTGCTCCAAGACTGAGGGGCATGTAGGCACCAGATGGACATAGCAGAACGGACCTTAATCAGCTGCCCCTGGGAGACAACAGGCTTTGGCAAGCTTGACATGAGGAGATGCAGGAATCAAAGAGACTGATCTTTCAAAAAACATTTCAAACCATTTCAACACCACACTTTACATACCACAGCATAATCTTCTATACACAATAACAGGCCATTTGCATACAACACATAATGCAAACTGTTAATTCTGTACTACAATACCTTTTAGTCTTTTGCACAGACTTCTCTCCATTCTCCTCATCACTAAAGTCAGAATCATAGCCTCCATGGCCACGTCCCTGAAAATAGACAAGAGTCAATATACCTGCTAATGTAATATGGACACAGCATAAATAAAAGAGAAAAAGACAGAAAATAAGTGAGCAAGTGCAGATTCTCACATCTGTCTACACCAAACCAAATCCAATAGAAAAGCAGAGTATATTCCAAATAATAGAAGGCAAAGACAGACATCAGTCTGTCAAAAGATCACTTTATAAATAATTTATATGTAGATGTCCCCATATTTAATCTTCACGTAGATGCAGATAACCAAAAATTTAATAAACATCTTTGGTCTTTACTTTCAAATAATCCCTCTTATATAAGAAAAAAGTAAGTATTTTCTCCAGGAGCCACTCATTCAGTGGGCTGGAGGATAGCAACTGATGTGCCCACATTATTCTCAAAGATGGAAACAAAAGTTTCTTGGGCTGTGGTACAGAATTTTACATTAGATCTGACATTGGTAGCTGGAAATCTGGTTGAAATGGTAACTAAAATACAAAATAATAATATGCCTGCAAGTATGTATCATCTAACCAGCAAAATATTTCTACCATGAAATTAAATCTTTTTTCCATATACTTTAGGACTACAATGTCAAATTAATGAATATAAGAAACCCAAATTATCCCATATCTTAATGCCATCAAATGACTAAGCACTAACTGATCACCTCCATTTTTCAAAAGCACAGTTATATGTCCAATTTTTTCAGCAGAAGTAATGGCTTAAGCAGATCCCATCTCCTCTCCCTCACTCCTACTCTAGTACCTTCGTTCCATTTGCTCAGTTACAATTGTGAAATTACTCATAAACCAGATAAAACAACTCACCCAATTACAAAGGATCCTACCTAAAAAAAGATCATTTTAACCCAGGTAAGTTTCCTGACAGTTCATCCAGAGTCCCACAACCAGCTATGCCAGCCAGCTGGGAGGAAGCACAGGCAGAGAACAGCCAGAGCTGGCAACTGCATAAACTAGTACCGACACCAAAAAATCATTTACAAACTGGAACTTTACACAGCTGAGCCAAAACCAAGAAGGATGGTTATTACACATCTGCATGGGGAAAGGTTCGATGCATGCTTGCAAAGTATCTTGGTAATTCAGACTATGGATGAGAAAAGGAACTGGGTTAGAAAACCAGTGTATTTGATTCAACATTGCTGATTCTTACGTTACCTATAGTCATATTCCTCCTCAGACAAAAACCTGAGAAAAACATAATCTGCAAAAAAGACACATCTTTTCTGGATGATTTTGATGAGGTGCCTTCTCTTGCTGCAAATGTCTACCAGCAATGCTACGCTGGAGACCCAGCTGTATCCTCTATTGACATCAACAAGCTGTATTTTGTTGGCCTGTGTAGTGCAGAGTATGTAAAACACTATCTTTTCACACTGGTGGTGAAGGATTGATTTTTAAGATTTTTTTTTTAATTAATTTATATTAACAATAATAATCTGTGCCTTTTTTCCTTGCTTTAATACTGTGACATTCCTTCCACTCGTCTGAAGAAGACCGAGTTTGTCATACACGTGTATAATTTGAACAAAAGCAAATGAGGACTTTCCCAGGAGACACAAAAATTATCAGTTACCAAAAAAAGCGTGGCAGATGTATGCAGCGTGTGCTGTAAGTGGACTTCGTGCACTGGCAAAAGTGCAGCAATGGTGTGAAGTCCTCCAGCAGAGACCCATGATAACCCACAGTTCAGATGCAGGTCTCATAGCTGAGGTGGTTCTCATAGCAAGCCTGTCACTACTTTTATTAATGAAGCTTATCTGTTCTTTGGAAAACGCTGAATACATTACAAGTGTGCAGCAAATATGTTTATACTTGACCTCTAAATTTTAAAAATATCATGTCAATCCAGGAATGTTTTAAATGGCAAAAGTAGTGCTTTCCAGATGAACACTGAGAGCTTCCTTCACACTCAAAAGGGGAGAAAATCCAAGCCAACACAACATGCATGAAAATCAACATGGGACAGATGAAGTAGGAAAAGAGGCCAGAAGAGAAAGCTCAAATAAAAGGAGACTTTCCTATAGTGGATGCCCTTGGAAGATGGGCCCCAGCAAAGCACATGTACGTGGTAAGCAGCTCGACTGATTCCAAGAATGACTCAAATGAAAAAAAAACCAAAACTGCTCCAACAGAGTTATATTGTAGGGCTCTCAGAAGTTCCTGACTGCCTTTTGGAAAGTTGTGACTGTGAATATAGGGGCAGGCATGTCCAAGGACTAGGTCCTGAGGGGCTGCTCTTTTACATTAAGATGATCTGACTTTTAAGTAAAACATAAAAATGAACTCCATCAAAGAATCTCATCCATGAATGAGTCTTTCCATTTTGGAAGGGCAATGTAAACAGATGCCTGCTTAATGTTGTGGAATTTCAAGACTGATTTCTCCCCTTCTCCACAAAAAAGGACAGGCAACAATCCCAGACAAGGAGAACGTATTTAAAATTTAACTCTAGTAAAAGAGGGGCAGATACCAAAGTTTTGTGCCTAAGCTAGTGGATTTTAACAGGCATATGTAGACATGGACATGCAAAACTGTCAAGAAAATTTAGAATAACTACTTTCACTATTTGATTAACCCTTTAATATAATCATTTTGATGGGATTTGTCAGAAACTCAGAATACTTTTATGTATGTTAGTAAGGTAAATACCAAACATTTTATCAAAACCTAAACCTAAATAAAAGCTACATAACTTAAACGGTACAGTGTGGTTTGTCTGTTTCACCAACTTTGAACTTCCTTTTTCCCCAAACAAGAAAACAAACTGAAACCACAAAACTAAAACAAGTACCAATCACTTACATTTAAGTAATCCCAACATCCTGGATTAATTAACAGCAAAGGAATTGGAGACAGAACCAAGCCCACTAATTTAGGAATCCTAAAAATCTGCAATTTAAACCCAGAAAATGTACAAAGACTGTACGCAACTGGGAGCGGACAGAGATGTCAACCGCTGATGTCAACACAGGACACTGTGGACACCACAGCACTGCATCTACAGGTGGTACGTGCATCTGTCAGGCTGAAGGTGAAAACACAGCACTGCACCAGCTAAGAAGGAGAAAAATGACTGCTACAGCTGAACCCAGGAGAGCATCCAGAAAAAACATCTCCGTTAACCCTCTCCGCTGAGACAAACACACACTAGTGACACAGCCATGTCATAATTCACGTCGACTCCCCCGATCACAACACAAAGCTGAACAGACAGGCAGTTTAAAAAAAAAAGGCGGAGGGCCCCAAAACAATCCGACACACAAAATCCCAACTCATGCCCCCTGACCTCAGCCCTCATCTTGCTACTCCCCGCACAAGCGTCACTTCCATCCTTCGCTTTATCTGCCCAGCACACAGGTCTCCTCATGCCTGCTCACAGCCCAGATGTGGCCCCAAACAGACCTGACAGCTCATTTTGGCAAAAAATACTTTAGAAGGGTCTGAAGGGAGAAAAGGGCTTAGGGAGCAGTACTGGCTGGATAAAGGGTGCCATGCTGAGAGTCAGCAGGGTTCACCGCAAAAACACTCTTCCTACCTTGAGACTCTGCAATTCTCACTTTGGGGGAAAAGACCTGAACGTAAGTACAATTAGCTTCAAACCTACTCTTCCTTGTAAAACTAATTACGAGAAGTATTTGCATATACAACCCAGTGAACGTCCCTAACAAACAGAAAAGACACAAAATACTGCCCCTTTATTAAAGGTCTCAAGCTATGGAAGGAGAAGCAGGAGTAAAGTACAGGTAACAGAAGACCACGACGGTGAGGATTAGAGCTTTGTAGGGCTCTACGGAGAAAAATCACACCGAAAACCGGCCCGTGTGTGTCCAACACGACTTCGAAGCTGTTCTCACGCCCCGAGAGCCGGCGAGCCCTGCCCCAGCCTCCTGCGTGACCC